CTCCACTGAGGATGGTTGGCACCTTTAATAAGGATGAGGTAGCTGAGTATGTCTGGTGTTGTTTTCTGCATCTTCTAATCTAATCCACTGATCCTTGGGTCTGTTTCTTTGCCAGTACTATGCTGTTTTTATCACAGTGGCTTTGTAGTATAGTTTCAAGTTGGGAATTGTGATACCCCCTGCCATGTCTCTGTTGCCTAGAATGGCTTTTGCTATTCTAGGTCTCTTCTGGTTCCAAATGAATTTTTGGGTTGTTTTCTCAAGTTCTGTGAAATATACTGTTGGGATTTCAATAAGGATTGCACTGAATCTGTATAGAAGTTTTAGAAATATGGCCATTTTCACTATGTTGATTCTTCCTAACCAGGAGCAAGTGATGTCTTTCATCTTCTTATATCCTCTTCAATCTCTTTTTTCAAAGTACTGTAATTTTGTATAGAGATCTTTTGTCTCCTTCATTAGATTAATTTCTAGATATTTCATTTTTTTGGATGTTATTGTGAAAGGAAGTGTTTCCCTAATTTCTCTCTGTGAGTCTGTTATCTGTGTACAAGAAGGCTATTGATTTTTGAGTGATGACTTTGTAGAAATTACATAATTTTGAATATTATTTTTGAAAATAAATGACCTACAGTTTCAGTACATTAACCTGAGTAGCAAATTTCAAGCAACTCCCACTGTGGGCCTGGCTTTTCTCTGTCTTTCTTTGATGGCCACCTCATAACTTTTGCTAAGTTCACCCAGTTGCCTGGCCGTCTGACTTTGGTCCTCTGGTCCCTGACTGATCCCAGTGTGGCTACCTTTGGAAGCCCACAAAGTCAGGTCCATCTGCTGCTTCAAAGGGTGACCCCTCTAGGTTCAGGGGAAGCTCCTGCTCTAGTGTGCATAGGACACAAAGCCTCACCGGTATTTGGACTTTGTCATGATACTGGCAATATGGGGTGAGGAACAGTGTGCTCAGACCACAAGATCCAACTCATGGTCTAGGACCTCGTTGTGAATGCTGCAGAGTCCTCCCCTTTATCCCACCTCATATGCAGCATTTAAAAGCCTGGAATGGGGACAGAGAATGTGAGCACAGACCCCGCAGCTGGGGTGTTGACATGTCTGTTCCACATGGGGTCCTTGTCTGTTCCAACTTAATTCGGCTAGTGCAGAAGGAGCTACCTAGGATGCAGCCCAGGGTGTTCTGTCTCTCTCAGCTTCCCTTACTAATGTCTTGTTTTAAAGAGAAGGCTGGACCACAGGAAATAGGAACGTGCCAATGAAACCCAGTGGGTAAGTAGTGACCTTGAAGAAGCCTTTCTGCCCTTCCTGGGGGGAATAGGCCCAGCCTGACATAATGTCTGGTCAAGGATCTTGAGCCCTTCATGCCATATCCTGGGCTAATTGCCTGGCACTGACAGCAGCTGCCAAGGCCTAAGCGCCTCCCCAGGGCAGCCCCGATTGAGACTCTCAACTATTTCTCCTTTAAAAATCCATGGATTTTGACTTTTCTCTCTCTCTGCTATCCTTAACAGGAGTTGAGAGTTGACTGGTAGAAGGTTTTATTAGCAAGAAGGAGAAGGGAGAGTTTGGCAACTTGGCAGAGGGCCTACTGAGAACACTAGGTTACGGAGGAGCAGTGAGACAGCAACCCAGGTCTCTGCCTCCCTAGGACTCAGGACAGATTTACACATCAGTTTCTCAAGTTTCTGGGCCTGAAGGCACCACTCAAAACAGGAGACAGGCTGCGGCATTCACTGGCTCAGGGTTCTGGGGCTGAGCTCTCACAAAGAACAAGGGAGGCCCGTTGGAGAGGCTGTGGCAGCCACTGTGGGGACCATGAGCTGAGAAACTGTCTGAGTAAGCAGGCTGCTTTGCAGTGAAGGGCTCCTGTGCAAGTTTCAACAGGAAAAACCTCAGCCCTTTTGCACAGATTCTACTAGTCCTATGTTCTGGTGGGGCCCTGGCTATGACAGCAAGGGGCGGGGACTTTTGCCATGGCACCATGTGTGGCCAACCGGTACTGGCACCTTGGGGGCGCCCTGCTCCCAGCTGGACTTAAGAATCTCATTTAAAGCCAGGCACAGAAAGTGAATGAAGCTCAACAAAATCATCTTTTCTTTTTTTTTTTAGCTTTAATTGAGTTTATTGGTACATTTTAGGGATACAGTACAGTTACATTTATTGTTGGGATCTTGTACCTCTACATGACAAGTCTTGATTCTCATTTTTTTCCCCTTACCTCTTCCCTCCCTTCACCCCCTCCTCCCCTAACAAAATCATCTTGATGGAGGAGATAGTTCTGAGTTTCATGAGGATTCGGCACCCAAGTCTTCTGTCCAATATATGTGGACACAAATATTTTCCCTTAGTTTGTCTAAGGAAAGAAGTTTGACTCTCATCTTCTTAAGGAGGTCCTTCACAGAGCCACATTTTCAATTTGGTAATAGCCAATAAAACAGTTATTCCTTTTGGAGATTATACTTTTAATGTTAGTATGACTTTTTTGTCCTAGATCAAGAACATGAAACTTTTTTGTGTTTTTGTCTAAATGTCTAGAGTTTTACATTTCAAATATATGTCCACGGTGCCTTCTGAATTTATTTTTGTATAGATGTGATGTTCGCTTGGGACTCATGTCTACATCCAGATACCTCAGCATTACTTACTGAAAAGGCTCTCCCTTCCCCATTGAATTGCTTTTGCATCTGTGTCACAGGTCCGTTGGTCATGTTCATGTGGATGTGCTTCTGACCCGTCCCTCCAGTGCTGAGGAAACCCAGGGCTCGGTAAGTTCTCTGCCGCCGAGCTACACCTCCTGCTGAGGACGCTGTACTCCATGGACCTACTTATCTGCCAATACCATATTGTCTCTGCAGCTACACTCTAAGCCTTAATGCTGGGTAAAGTGAATCCTCCCTCTTTAATTTTTCCTAAGATTGGTTTAGGTGTCCTAGCACCACATTTTTCTGAATAAAGTTTAGAAGAAGCTTTTGATTTCATTCTACAGGTCTCTTACAAGTGTATCACTTAAAAATATGTGGGAATTTTTCGGCTTATCTTTTTATTATAGACTTCCAGTTTAATTTCACAGTGATCAGTGATCATATTTTACATGAGCTTGAGACTTTGAAATGTTTTAGGATTTGCTTTATGGTCTATTTTAGCAAATGTTCAATGTGAACTTGAAAAGAATGTGTATTCTGCAATTATTGGGTACAGAATTCTTTATATGTCAATTAGGGCAATTTTGTTAAGTTCATTGTTAAAATCTTCTACTTTTGCTGATATTTTTTTGTCTGCTTGTTCTATCAGATACTGAGAGATGTGTTAAAACCACCCAAACACGATTATGAATGTTACTCCTTTGAATTCTGTGAAATGTTTATTAATATATTTTGAAGTCATATTAGGTGGATTTTTCATGTTTCCCTGGACAATTTATCCCTTTCATTATGACTAAACACTCCTTTTACTAGCCAATAGTTCTCCTTGCCTCTGTCTGGTAGGAGAACTTTGGGTGGTAGGCACAGTTTATATGACATATTTTTCTCTATCCTTCAACTTTCAACATTTCTTCTTCCCTATTTTATAGTCTATCTCTTATAAATAATACATAGTTGATATTTTAAAAAAATCCAATCTGAGACTATGTTTTTACACTTATTGCAATTATTGATGACGCTGAGTTGAAATTATCAACCCCAATCATTCCTGCCATCTTAATATGAATTTTCTGTGCTTGCTTCAGCAGCACATACATTAATGTGAGTTTTCTATTTGTCTTGCCAATTCTATGTCTCCTTTACTCCTTACTTTATTTTAGTTAAATATGCTGGACCATTACATTTCTGCATCTCTTAATGCATGAAACTTCCAGTAGGTACAAAGCCAAGCACAGTTGCACAGAATCCTGACTACTTTTCACAAGTACCTGGGACTCTGCTAAAATGGAGATGTTCATCATCTCAGAAATACTGTATTAAAATGAGCAGCAGGCAACAAGCAAGATATATTTTTTAAGCTCTGTGAGTAATTCTGATGAACAGCCAGGAAGCCATCAATCCTTTCTTCACACTTCATCGGTGGCTGGGCTCAGGTGGTGTCCAGTCAGACTCCAGCCCCTGGCCTGGCTGGCGGTCTCCACCATGCACAGCCAAGAAGTTCAATCTCTTACACTTCTTCTTCAGCATGTCAGAGGTACCTGGGAAGGCAAACACCCCAGGCAGCCTGAGCCACAAGGTCAGCAGCTTCTTCACACCTGGCTCCCTTCTCTGCTATTTCCTCCCCTGCCCAAGGGTCTTCTTCTGGAGGCAAATCTGTCTCCACTACACAGGAAGATTATTTATCTCCAAGAAGCCAAGTATGTGTTCTGACCCTCAGTCACCATGTGCACTGGATTTTACCTTTATTTTATTTTAAGTCATAACCATTACAACAATATTGATGGTATGTGGAGGTCAGTTTACAGTCATCTCTCATAGTTCTGTGCCCTTATTTCCTGTAGAAAGGAGGTTACCTTTAAAATTCACCACAAAAGACCTGAACGATATTACAAAAATGTGCATCTAACTCTTACGAAGTTAGTTTAGTGCTTCCAGATGCATTAAAGATAGTTGAAATTGATACATTAATTTTACCTTCAACAATCAAATGAGGTGAAAAACTGAAGGACAAAGATGTAAATAAATATGTTTTTACCTTAAGCAAGAAGAGATCTGGTACCGAGACAAGACCAAAATAAATGGAGAAAAAAATACTCTGTTAAGTGGTAACATAAAAATAATACTTTAGTGTGAACTTCTCCCACCACAATAACAACAATTATAATAACAATGTAAGATTAATAATAAATGAAGGGCCGGGGATTTAGCTCAGTGGTTCTGCTGCCTGCCTCACAAGTGCAAGGTCCCAAGTTCAATCCCCAATACCAAAAGAAAAAATAATAATAAATGAAGGGCCGGGGATTTAGCTCAGTGGTTCTGCTGCCTGCCTCACAAGTGCAAGGTCCCAAGTTCAATCCCCAATACCAAAAGAAAAAATAATAATAAATGAAGAGCTACGTCCTTGAGTGGAGTCATTTTACATATATAATATCATATTAAACATCAATGAATATGTTATTGAAGCAAATATGCAGAGAAAATTTGACGTTTGTTTTTCTTTTCTTTCTGTGATTCCTCAACAAGATTTTGTTGGGGAAAAAATTCTGAAGGGTTTGGTCTTGTTTCTGTTTAGCTTGCAGTTTTAAAAAAACCTATTTTTATTAAAAACCAAAAATCTTAGATGTTTTTAGTGTATACAGTCCCCTTTTTGCTACAGGCACCTGGCAGCCTGCAGTGGCTGGGCCTCACTTTCCAGTCCTCACAGCCCCTCTTCACGTGGCTGTATACAGGCAAGAGCCATGAGCAAAACATGTGCATTGGAGATATAAAATCAGACCCCAACTGAGAGAGGCAGGGTGGGCAGTGAAGGGAGCAGGCACTCTGTGCTCAAGCTCTTTCTCTGGAAGCCACAGCCTCTACTCAGTGGGACCCCAGAAAGCACTAAGGTCAGCACAGCCCACTGTGCTCAGGACAAGTGTCCCCTGCAGTGACAAAGCCCAAATAGGGACAGGGTGTGTTCAAAGGTTCCCACTTCCTCCTTCCTGGAGGGTGAGGCAGTGCCAGACCAGGCCTACCGTCCCAGATCCACCCTCCTCCTCCAGGAGGGCTGGCTCAGGGTGGCTCGCACCTTTGCATCATCGCTGTGGGGTGTGTGTGTGTGTGTGTGACTATTTTATGGCCTTTTGTGTTGTGTTTTTGCACCATAATGCAGTCTGATTGGATGGATGACGGCAATGAAATCACGCGGCTTCCTCTCTTGTTCCTAAGACTTCCTTAGGCCAGCAGCTCCCATGAATGCTATCCAGAGGCTCAGGCTTTCCAGGTGACGTGGCTCAGTGTGCAACCTAACCTGCTTCCCACTTCTCTGCAGAGGCCCCAGACTGACACCCATCGTCCAGGAGCTCTGCTGGCCCAAAGAAGGGACTCAAGGCAGCATGGGAAAGCTTCCCCATTAGAGAGGAAAAAAGTGAAAATCAGCAAAAAATAAAGAGGAAAGGTGCTAAATCTCCCTCCTCTTGGCTATGGATCTGAGGGAGATTTCCAGGGGAACTTGAGAACTATCCTTGGGGATGGGTAAATACATAGTTAGCAAATCAAGTGGAATCAGCCTTCTGGGTATTTGCATTTCCAGCCATCTCAGACACATCTGAGAGGAATTTTTAAAGATTATACGTTTCATTAATGACAAGTTTAGCCAGGCTTTCTGCTTCCAGACAGCTAGAATCAGTGTGGAGAGGGTCAGTTAACAAGCCCGCAGGTGAAGTGTATGCATCAGTTCTCTTATCACACCGGCACCTCACCCAACCCTGTGAAGCTGCACAGTGAGCACTACCATTGCACTGTAGAGACCAGCACCTGCGCCTCTATGGCAGGAAGTGGCCATGAGCCCTGGAGCCTGTCTCCCTGTCTGGTCCTTGTAACTGTCCCACCACCACTTCTGACACAGCCCTGGGAAATGAGCTGCTCTCTGTGGCTAAACACACCTGGAAAGAAGCAGGCTTCCTTCGTACTGGTCAAGGCACCCTGAGGACAGGCAAGGTGAAAAGATGAAAGGGCTAAAGCAAAGTGAGTCCCTGAACAAGTCAGATGTGACTCAAGTGCACAAATGAACGCAATCAGAACTCAAACAGTGCTCTGGAGAAATCTTTGAATTCTTTGACAAGCCTGCATCCAAACTGCAGTAAAATCCACAGGCATGGGCATATTTACTATTTGAACACAAATTAACAACATATTCTTAAACATATCTCAGGAGGAAGGAAAGGTGAGAAAGAGGGAAGGGTAGAACCTGGGGTCTCTGTGGTCCTCCTGGCCACAGCAATGAAGTGGGAGCATGGCAGGCTCCCAGCAGTCCTTGCGGCACGCTGTGCATGGGATTCACGTGGCTGTGACTTCAAGCTAATGGCTGTGCTGACCATTGGGAATGAGATGCTTGTTGGTCCCAAAGCCATTCTTCAAACAGTTTCTCTCTTTGTCTTTGGTAGCTTCCTCTTCCTCCTCGTCATTGCTGTCAGTGTCCTCCTCCTCTTCTTCCTCTTCGTTATCACTCCTCACATCTTTACAGTCCTAGACAAAGGAAAGAATTGGCTGTGACATTGTCTATGATGTCTTAAGTGACTATGCTAACTAATGGGCCCAGCTTAGAGATTTGGTTTTCTAAAGAAAACCCGATATTCACAGAATCAGCGTTCAACAAGATCAACTACACTCCGGGTCATAACAAGCCCAACAAAATAAAATTATACAAAGTGTATCTGAGACAGGAGAGATGGGTGCAACACTCCCCAGGAGGTACTTTATACAGTATTTTCTTCTGTACCCCATCATTGCTCTGGGGAGACATTCATTTTGGCTGCTGCAGACTTCAGATACAGATGGATCCCAGGGAACTCTGCAGCCTCTCTGGGTGACTCTGTCCCCATATGCTCCTCAGTTTGGTCCACTAGGGCTCTCCCCCACCCATAACCAAAGAAAAAGTCTGACACTGCACATGCTCGAGCTCGCCCCTCTTCTCTATATAAGTAACCTGCTCATACCTTCAGCAGGCTCAGTTCATATGCTGTTTTTTTATGCTGCAGCCTTTCTTTTTCCTAAGAAAGTCTCTGGCAGATGGCTTTTTTTTTTTTTTGCCTATTCATGATTTCTATCTCAAGTGGTGCCAAAAGCTGCCAGCGGCACAGAAAGCAGCCAGCAGCAGAGAACAGCAGAGAGCAACACAGAATTGCCAAGAGTCACCATCTCTGGGGGCTGCAAGAGTCCCCACTGGTAGCTGTTGGCTCCAAGAGGTGAGGGGGGATGCGAACCTTAAGAGTCAGCATTCAAAGCTCAGGCTGTTAACAGCAGAAGAACTGCACTTTGCCCATTTGTGTGTTTTTTATTAATGGTAAATGTCTGTAATGCATAATCATTACACTCGTTTTGGAAAACTGGTAACACACATCACATTTTGATCATTTTTAAAATCTCCTTCCTTGGCTTTATTCTCCTCTCTCTCCCTTTTCCCTGTTCCCCTTCCCCAATTCCCACAAATCTGCCTCCCTGATTCCTGCCATCTCTTCTTTATTTTACCTTTTTTTTGTACCGGGGATCGAACTTGGGACCTTGTACTTGAGAGGCAGGTATGGAACCCCTGAACTAAATCCCCAGCCCTTCCTTTATCTTACTTTTAAATTTATTTATATTGTGGGTTTCTCATCTAAGCAAAACCATGCAATATTTAACCTCCTTTGTTTGGTTTAATTTACTTAGTATTATGATATCGAGATCTACCTATTTTCCTACAAATGACTCTAATTTACCATTCTTTAAATTGTATAACACACACACACACACACACACACACACACACACGTATATATGCAATCACATTTTCTTTAACCATGCATTTGTTAATGGCTATTTAGGTTGTTTCCAATTTAACTACTGTGAATTGGAAACATACGATTTCTATACAAATTCAGCAAGAATGTTTAGTTGATTAGTAACATCTCAGAAGTGCACACAAGGACTGACACCCTGGAGGGCCCTTTAGAAGAGGCAGACAATGGTTAACTGTCATCGGCAGACTCAAGAACTGGACCACATCTGATTTCCATCTTACGTATGGCTAAGAACACATGCTAGCTGGTAACATTTACAGAGCATTATGGTATTAAACTAGAAATCAATGTACTATCAAAGAGACAATAGGCAAATCTCAAAATACATGAAGTTTTAAAAAAAGCCTTCTAAATAATCAATGAGTCAGAAAGTCTCAAATAATACCAGAAAAACTAAATGAAAATGGAAATAAAACAATTTTAGTGCAGCTGTCTTAGTCACCTCCTCTTCACTGTGACAAATACCGGATGCCCACACCTTAAAGGAGAAGTTTATCTTGGCTCATGTTTCATGGTCGGCCAACTCCAAGGCAAGACTGCATAGTGAAGGCAGGAGCACAAAGGGAAGGAAAAGATGCTCCTGTCATAGCTGCCAGGAAGCAGAGCAAACAGCGAGAATCCAGGAAAGAGATAGGGATCCACCTCTTCTGACCAGGCCCCACTTGCTAACATCACATTTAACTACCAGATCCCATGATCCAATCACCCTCCAACACCCCTGCACAGGACATCCAGATATAAACTATAACAAGCAGCTAGACCAGTGCTTAAGGGGGAAACGTATAATATTATTTAGGAAGGAAGAAAAAAATCTCAATTTGAGTTATAAGAAACTAGAAAAATGAGCAAAATAAACTAAAAGCAAACCAAAAGATGCTATGGTTTATACCTAGATGTTCCTCCCAGTCTTGCACTCATAGGCAGGACTTTGGGAGGTGATGGGCGGGCACTACACCTTGGTGGCTAAGTCCACTGAGGAGCTTACAGCTGGCTGGGGTTACTAGGTGGGGCCTAGTCGGAAGAGGGGTATTACGGGGGTGTGGCCTGAGAGGCTCTATCTCCCTCCCTCACTTTGCTGCCTGGCTGCCATGAAGTGGCAGCTTTTCTCTGCTCAGGCCTATCCACCATGCAACCAATTATGCAAGGCCTGAAACTTGTACAACATGATCCAAAATAAACGTCTCCTTCTTTAGTTGTGGGTGTTGGGTATTGAGTCTCAGCAGTGAGGAAAGTGACTAAAAGACATAAAAAGAGATCATAGTGAGATTGATACAAAAGAAAAGCAGTGAAACCAAAAGCTGGAAAAGCTGGTTCTTTGAAAAGACCCATAACATTGATAACTCATTAACAAGACTGCCAAGGGCAGAGGTGGGGGAAAAATTACCAAAAAAAAAAAAAATGCTATCAACATCTCTATACATATATTTAACACACTGGATGAAATAGATCAATTGTGTAAAAACTAAAAATGACTAAAACTTATCCAAGGTGAAACAGATAACCTGATATCATATTACTATAAAGTAAGTTGAATTTGTAGTAAAAAAAACTTTTTGAAAAGAACAATACCAGGCAAAAACAGTTTCATTGGCAAATTCTATGAAATATACAAAGAACAAATAACACCATATTTCTACAATCGCTTTCAGAAAATAGAGGGAAAGCAATTCTGAAAAAGAAGACTAAAATGAGAAGACTTATTCTGTTCAATTTTAAAACATACTATAAGGTTACAGTAATCAAGACAAGGTGACATTAGCAAAGGGAGAAACATGTAGACCAGTGGAATGGAATACAGACTCTAGAAAAAGATTCACTCAAAGCCAACTGAGTTTTGACAAAGTTTCAAAACAATTCAGTGGAGAGAGGCTACATGTTGCAAGAAATGTCATACCTTATACAAAAATCAATTTAAAATAGATTGGTGTTATGGTTTGTATCTAGTTATGCCCTCAAAAGCCTCATGCAGTCATAGGTGGGGCTTTTTCAGAGGTGGCTAAATATAGAGTATGTGACTGACTCATGGTGCAATGCTAGGATTAAGGGTGCTGGGATTAAGGGTGTGTGATTACTAAATCAGTCTGATTGGTTTGTCACTGTCTTAATCCTGGTATTTTAGATAGAAAATAAAGGGGGCAGAAAAAATCTGCTAAGGTCCCTTGTTTGCTGTGCTACCTTCTGCCCACCGTGAACTGTTCCTCTTCTGTGATGCCTGCTGCCAGGCCACCCTGCCTTGGAGTCAGGCAATTATGGACTGAAACCTCTACAGACTGTGAGCTAAATAAACCATTTTTAAACCTTGGATGGGTATTTTGTCTCAGCAATGAGGAAAGCAACTAAGAAAATTGTACAACTAAATGTAAAATGTGAGCTTATAAAACTTTAAGAAGAAAACCCTGGACCTTGGCAATGAGCTCACAGATATGGCACAAAAAATATACTTCATAAAAAAACTGATAAGCTGGACTTTGTTAAATTAAAAAACCCTCACTCTGTGAAACACACTATTCAGAGAATGAAAAGATTAGCCGCAAACTGGGAGAAAATATTGGCAAATTACATGCCCGACTTGTATGCATAATAAAAACTTTCAAAGTCAATAACAAGAAAACACAATTTTTAAAATGGGCAAGAGACATAAAATATAGGCAGCTAATTTTAAGGGTGACAAGCATGTGACAAAAATGCCCAATATCATTAGGTATCACTGTAAATTAAATCTAAGATGAGAGACAACTATGAGCCTACTAGAATAGCTGAAACTTAAAGAACTAACAATACCAAGAACTGGCAAGAATACAGAGCAACCAAAACTTTCATGAATTGCTGTTAAAGTAAGAACTGGGGCACACGATGTGGAAAACAGTTTGGCAGTGCCTCACAAAATTAAACATACATTTACTGTACATGTCTGCAGTCCCAAACCCAAGAATCTACCCTGGAGAAATGAACATTTATGTTCACACAAAACCAAAAGTGCATACCAATTCTATGCATAATTGGCAAATATGGAAGCAACACAATTGTCCTTCAGCTGTTAGATGGTGAAACTATGGTACATCCGTACAATAAAATACTACTTAACTACAACGAAAAACCAATTGTTGACATGTATAAGGGGCTGGGTAAATCTCAAAGATAGGATGCTGAGTAAAAAAGCATTAGTCTCTGAAGGTCACCTACTAATGACATTTACACGGTGTTCTTGAAGATACAAATTCATGGATTAATGACATTTGAAAGGGGGCCAGGAATTTAGCTCAGTGGCACTACACCTGCCTCGCAAGCACAAGGTCCTGAGTTCATCCCCAGTACCCCCCCAAAACCTTAAAAGGATTTCTTTCTAGAAACCAAGCACAATGATTTTTCCAATAATAATTTGCTATGCAAAGTATAATTCATGTGGGCATTTTGATTGTTGGGATATTTTTATTACTGGTAATTAGGATGTTTTCTATTTTCTTTATGCAGGGGCTCTGTCAATGACAATTTCTAATTAAGAGTTACATGTTTCTTTCTCTAATGGTTTCTCACAGTAATTTTGCAAGGAAATGTCCTGGAAGAAGAACACTGCCCCCTGAGAAAGGTGAGTAGATTGTTATAGATCAGACCCCATTGAGAAAAATAAAAGATGGCAATAATTATTAAAACAAGCAAACTTTCAAAGTCCTGTAATGAAAATGACTC